TATCTCTCCATATCCCCTGGCAGAACGCTCTGAGCATTGCCCTGCTCCTCATTTAGGCTTCTCTTAGGTAAAATGCCAAGGTCTTCTCCTTAACAAGAAGTAATTACATACTGCACACAGTGCTTTACGTACGCCAGTCTTGATCATGTTTTCATCCGTTACGGGCTTGGCTGGGAAAGAAATTGGATTGCTGGCTGTCTTCCTGTCTTACATTTGCCAGACTCGGTGACTGACCATTTATTTCAAATCTATCTTGATGACTCGATGTGCTAATCTTTTAAGAACTTGAGTTTTGGATCCAGGCTCTGAGAGTATTCCAGTCCTAAGCTACTGGTGGGGAGCTCAGAGAATACAGCCAGCAGCATACTTCAGATCGGCGTGTCCTGTGAGTTCATGGCTGCATTCATTGAAGACCACTCACCCAGTGAGACCCAGTAGAAGGCAAACACATCCCATGAGAATGTGATGGAAAAAAAATGGAATAATTTTGTGGTCAGACGTTACAGGATCCGCAATGCAGCGCACATGTTGCGTTCACACTGTGTTGAGGGCAATGTTTTAGCTTTGGAAAATGCTGCTCCGTGCTTCACAGAGAATGGTTGTGATAGGTAGTGAATGCTGCGCCGTGCTCACAGCAGGGCCCGAGGCAACTGATTCCTCTGAAAAAGTTGTCTAAAAGGCCATCAGACCTTTTGCTGTGGGTCTAAACTGACAGAAGTCAGCCTTCTCAGGTCTCCTTTCTGCAGCCCAGTGTGTGCACGTTGCCTGGCGCGGGGGGAGGCAGCGTGGCCCCTGTGGGTTGTCTTTTGGCCATCCCCTCTGCCGGCGTTCAGTAACGTGAGGACAATGGCACCAATGTATTTCTTGCCAGGCTTCCCGTTCCGACCAGTCGTGGTGTTGAGCTGTCAGTGTTTGGGAAGAGATTTGCTTGGAAAGTGGCTTCTTGATGCTCACAGCTATTGCCGTGTGCACAAGTTTAGCTGAATAAGCTTTGCCATGGGTTGCTACGGTTACCTCGTTCGGCATAGTTCTCACCAGGAAAACGCGGTGTTTGCGGCACTAGCAGCCCAGCTGGAAAGTAGTTTTTTTTTTTTTTAGGGAGAAGTTGCTTCTCTGCCCCCGATTTCCCCCCTGTGGCAGTCTGTTATGGTATGTAAATACTAGTTTGGCCGTCACACCACAATGTGCTGTTGTCCCAGTCCTACAGGGAGGAAACCAACGTCTCTGGTTATTATTGCAGGCACTGAACTTGCAGCCTCAAGGACCTCTCTCAGCCTGTTGAATCACCCTTTGCCATTCTCCTTGGGCAGTCAGCGACACGGCTGTAACACCTATTTCCCGCTCAGGCCCAGTGCTCTTGTTTAAGGGAAAAACAAGCATTCTCATCCAGCCAGGCTGCTTGGCAGTTAGACTGTTCCTCGCCATTTGCTACCTGAGTTCTTGCCAACTTGTCTTACTCTTTTCTGGAGAATACCAAGCTTTTACGCTTTGCTTCAAAGACTGCCTCGTCTTGCGTTGTGTACTCTTCTGAGCCTGGTGTGTGTCCCTAGACTTGGCTTTATAAAGAAACAGTTTTAAAATTAAGTGTTTCAAACTAGAAGCCGATGGTATTCTTCAGAGATCTTTAGCTCATCTTTGGAAACAAAGCTTTAACCTACAAGAATCACCTAAAATTTCTCATTTAGTTATATGGACCTAATATGACTGCACTGTATTAGACTTACTCCAACCTGACTGAGGTTTTGAGAAGACAAAGTATCAGATATAGCAGAAGAGGTGCAATATGAGGCTCAAAATTTAGTCACAGAAATTGACAAAAAAAAAACCCAAACCCTCAGCGTTTGTTTCCAGTGCTTTTAAATTCTATTGTTATTCCTCTCACCATTCTAAGTTACTATCTGTGATATTTCATTGACTTTGTGTAAATATGAGCTGCCATCAGATGTAAATTCAGTACCAAAAAAAATCAGATATTAGAAAATTAATAAAGGCCACGATTTCTTTGTGAAGAACTGTTAATTTCAGCCATAGCAATGTAGAGTGTTAGGGGCTGTTGCGTAAGAGGAGTCACTCCGTTTCTCTTCCTTTCAGCATGCAGGAGAAATTTGACAAGGCAGTGCAAGGCCAGAGTGTTTACATTTAACTTCAGTGCAGGGGACTCAGGCTGAAGCAGCAGCTCCTGGCTTGGGCAGAAGCATCTGCTGCCTAAGCTACGTCCCTGGCTGCACAGGTGGTGAAAAACGTTAGATCCAGTACCTGAGGACAGATACGAGCTGGCAATTCAGGCATACTCTTCAAGACAATTAGTAGAAGTCAAAGAATCATCTCGTGAATCCTGTCCTGAAAAAAATTTCTCATCAGAATTTCATAAAGACTTGTATAATATCAATTCACCAAAATTTCAGGTCAAGACCGTTGAGAGTTACAAACATTCATGTACGATTTGCACTGCCTAACTCGTTTGTTACAGACACTTCTCATCCAGGCAGCAGTAAAGACCACAAAAAATAAAAAAGTATCATTTTAGGGGCCAGGATTCTTTTGAGCCTATTTAAATAACAATCCTAATTCATTTAGGATTCATCTCCTTTTTAAGTGTATTATATTTAGGCTTTTTGCAAGACAGGATCATGGACACGCGTCACTTTAAGCACTTGTTTCCCATTGTTCCCTGGCTTTGTTCCACCCAGGTCAGTGCTACGCTTGTCCTCCGTGGGAGTTACGGACGCAGAAGGACACCCACGAGTCCGCTGTTGGGTCTCACTGCACACCTTGTCAGTCTGTTCCAATCCCAATCATATTTAACTCCCTGCTCTTGAACTTTAATGCCTCTTTCACCATATTTGCAATTATTAGACAGGTGGAAACGGCAGTGAATTTCCCAATATGAAACAGGCCCAAAAGCCAGACAGCACTATGGAAGTGCACAATGAAATGAAATTGTGCCGTTTCTTCCCCGCTTCCACATTCAGTCTGAAACTACAGGTAAAGGGAAATTAACCAACAAATACACTGTACAGATCATTTTAATCAGTATAGCACCAAGACATAATGTGTAAAAATACATAAATAAATGAGACCAATGAAAACAAAACCTAACATAATGAAAAAAAAAAATATATTCTACAGCATGAAAGATCCAAACTGGGGGTGCTGTCCTGAATCTTGCTGGTTTGGATCTGGATGAAACTGCCTCGATGAGAAGCAAAAATCATTCAGTCATATAGCTTTTTTGTTGAAATGACTGCCTCCCTCTTTTTTGGAGAGTTAGTGCAAGATTCAAAGCAGCAAACAATAACAGACTACGAGACTTCCAGTCAATTATTTTGGTATCTGAAGCTTATTTAAACCTCTCTGGTCCAATGAAGCGTCAGATAAGTCTCCTTGTCTCAGACTGCTTACCACCTCCAGCAGGTTACAGGCAAACCAGGCAGCCAGCGTGGCTCTGCGTTGGTCCGGACACCAAAGCTGCACGTGACTCCAAGGGCAGTTAGAACAGTGGTGAAATTACTGTTACAGGAAACAAACGCAAAGTCAAATTAATGGAAACTATTTTCTACCTTAAAAGGAAAAATCCAGTCTTCTAGGAAAGAAAAGGCACCACCCGCACAGCGCGGGCGCTCCGCGCCACACGCCGCACCGCAGCCGCTGCGGAACTGCATGGCTGTACATCAAAGTCAAGGCCTAACTCGCTGCTGCTACGGTGCTGCTCACCCCTTCATTTCTTTTCCCTTTCACAGGGAGGGGGCTGAGGCAGCCCAGCCAATTAAGGAAAAGGGAGTTTGCCTTATAATCTAAACTCGGAGCAGCTCTGCTCACCTTTGCTCAGTTCACTGCTGCAGTCAGGGTATTTGGGCGCACTGAAAACCAAAGAAAAGTGCAATGATGGGGAACAATAATTATGATTACAGAGAGTATGAAGTTACCAGACTTTATGGCATGAGGAAAGTATGTGATTTAGTTACTTAAAATAATCAAATATTTTTATTGTCAATAAATCCAAGTGGAATGTAGTCAAAATGGAGACTGTGATTTCTATGAAAGCAAGATGAGCTTAATTTTCTTGGGGAGAGCAAGGGGAGGCATGATGGAAAGAAAACAGGATAAGGTTCTGAAATATCTTGGCTTGCCTTTATCAAAAGTAAAAATACTAGTCTAAGGAATAAGGGGAGGAAAGTGCATAACTTCACACTTTGGTCTGCCAGCCTGAAAAATTCAGAATACGTGCACTGGAGAAAGCTGGGAACATGGCCCAAATGGTTTGATATGTTTAACCTGCTTAAAAACATGCAATTAGACTACATGTTCAGGGTACTTGTTTCAAATATCACACACTGAAAATTAAAAAAAAATAAAATGAACAGGGAACAGCTTTCCATGGATGAGACTTCCATATTTATTGTTATTCCATGTGCATAGAAAATGGCAGTGAAGTTTCTTATGAAGTAGGCAGGGAATGGGAGAGGTGTAGATATACTGGACTGGACTTTGTGCTTCAAAATTACACTATTCATTTTTAAAAGTTTTTTTTTTCTTTTAAAAGTTATCACATTTTCTCGGATTTTTTTTTTTTTGTGCATGATGTTTCGAATTCCTTTTAAAATGACACACTGCATTACAAATGGATGGCACTTTAAACCAATGTGGCATTTCCATATTTACACCAACGAAAGAAATTTACAGACGTAATAGCATACAATCCTGACATTGAGTAATAGCAATAAAACAAGGGCATCCATTTTATTGTTTCTGTACAAACTATCAGAACAAGACTTTTATTCACATAAAAAAAAAAATCAGCTTTAATTTGCTCTGACCTACACACTTTCCAAATTCATTTTACTCAATTCTCAAACCTTTCATCACATCGCCCACACCCTCACCAGACTACAGGAGCTACAAGTAATTATACCTAACACCTAAACAGAGCAAAAAACCATCCCTTCCAGTTTTGCTTCCTGACAACTCCTCACTCAAAAAAATAAAATTAAAAAAAAATCTTCCTTGTTCCTTCCTTTTATTCACTTTCACATTTCATATCCGAAACAACAAACAAGGCCATTCCTTTCTTCTCAAGCACGATGAGAAACACACTGTCGGTTTTTCTCTTTGATGCTACACCCAGGAGTCGGGCGAACCCGGGTACTGTTCTGCTCTATAAGAAGATCGTCTGGTGGAATAAAAGTCTACGTAATTTGTGGTTGATTTCAGTCCGTACTGTGTTGTGTAATCCGAAGTAGCAGGAAAGTGAACTCTATCATCAAAATACGGGTCTTCGTAGCTGTGTGGGGACTGCAGGTACAACCTGTACGCGTCATAGTTTTTTCTGTTGGTGTCTTCTTGACTGTAGTAGAACTGCTGATGCTGTCGACAAAGCAATAGAAAAATAAGCTTTCAGGATATAATCAGCAGAGGAAATACTTGTTTCTCAAACTTACACACATTATACAGAACCTTTCCCTAAAAAGTTACGTGCAGCTCTACCAATGATAGTAGGTAGGTTTCAAACCTCCATGAAATGTACCTGATTTTTAAGTTAAACTAAATGGAGGAAAAACCTCTAAGCCTGCATGCTGTCTCCTGCATTCACTGGGAAGCTAGTAACTCTCCCAAAGCAGTACTTTTAGAGCATAAATGGAAAATACAGAGCCTACCAAAAAAAAAGAAAAAGAGTCAAGTCAGAAAAGTGCTCTCAGATCCCACCATAAGAACATGTGTGACATCATAAGTGACTATAAAAGATAACACAAAGGTAATAGCAGCACATAAGCCATTGTCACTTTAAGTACACTCATGCCCAGTAAAAAATTAACGATGCTCTAGATTCTCTCCAGAAAAGCCCTCTGATGTTACCAAGCGTGCTCAGACTGCCCTAAGTCCCACTGAGCACGGCACGCTGCGACTCGTTATCAGCGTCATTTCAAAATCAAGGTTTGAAATCGAGTCACCTGTAGTCGTCTGTTTTGTTCTCTTGCTGGTGAGGAATAGGAACTGATGTATATTGGTGAAGGTTTGCTGGAACCTGTGAGAAAACAGTTTGTGGCATAAGCTTCAGTCTTTATTCTTTTGTCTGTAAGTCTGTTTGCTTCTGTTTTACCGAGAAATTGCACAGCACCCAACAACTAAGTCCACGGATTTTAGTATCTACTAATAATATAAACACCACCATACAGGCCAATTTTGTCCCTCAGCAGTAGTTAAATTGAAACCAAGAGGCTTTTTTGTGTTGCTGTGTTTTGTTTTACAGACTAATAGCCTTTAAAACAAGGAATTTCCTTCTCTTTCTTCACTGTTCTCTACTGTTTTGTGACTTGTGTCGAATAGTAAGAAGGAAAAGGGATATCAGGGAAAAGATGAAATCTTGGTATCATTGAATAATACAATAAGTGTATATTATTATAATATAAACCCACACATTATTAGTTATAACATGATATAATAATATGTAATGTCCTTAATAAAACAAATTTCTGTAGTAGGATTTTAAATATAAATAAAAATTCTAACCACCTCTCACCTCCTGATTTAAAAACAGATTTTTTTGTTCTGGTAACATGTGCAACTTTAAAGAAACTCACAGAGTCAGATGCAAAACCTGTTGTTCCACACACCGTGAATATAATGATAAAAATGGAAAACAACATTAAGGAGTAACAAGCCTGCTAACGCCGCTGTCCATACCGTGACTGTGTACACTCCTCATACAAGGAATATTTACATATTGCTGTTACGAGTTCACCTAACTGGTATCTTACCGGTATATATGTCTTTATGTGCAATAACATCGCCTTGGTGGTTATAATACTGCATAGAAGGCTGCGTTCTGTCGTAGTCAGAGCGGGGCTCTCTGATTCCTAATAAAGCCGGCGATGAGGACGTGCTGCCAACTGATGAAAAAAGAAAGATTGTCAGCATATATCCCATACCTAACCCTCTCTTTATTCTCTCCTCATCCCTGCCTCCCTCAAGGACTAACAAAGGAGAGAGACGTGGGTAATGGACAAACCAGAACATCCTGGATGAAGAACCCCAGTGACAAAGGCTATCAACAAGGTACGACAGGATCACCATGTTATACTTGATGGTGAGTCACTGCGCTGTAACGCTCACAACGGAAATGGGACCTTACCCATCGCAGTTTGCATATGACACCATTTGCTTGCGTTTAGCAGATGAGTGCCCTGCTACATTTATGGTTTTGTGGAAGTTGAACAGAACCTTTAAGTCCATCCTGTCAGGTGGGGCAGCCTGCCTGGCTGACGCGATCCACGCGCACCCCCGTATCCCTGTTCTCTGATCAGCGTGCAGAAGCCTGTCTTGGACGTTTTCTGCTCCAGTTGGCTGACAGCCCTTGTGAGATCGTAACAAGGGATTACAGTGAACAGCTGACTCTCTATAGTTGTCAAAAGTTTGTTCTGCTAAATCTTCCCTATTTTATAGGCCACTCAGGATTTGTTGGCTTAGAAAGACTCCCGTAACACAGGAGAAAAATACTTTGAAATAATTTCTAGAAATTTTGCTTCAAAACATTAATCAATATCTTCTTCCATTAGCTGTGTCTATTACATCATATCCCACAATTTTGTGTTATTATGGATAGTTTAATGACTGATATTATCCTGGCATATTCATGGCTAAAAAAGCTAAATTTGGGGAGCGACTGAAAGAACAACCACCGTTGTAGGCCAAGTGTAACTGTTCTACCATGTGCATGCTGTGATCAGCATTGCTGCTACCACAGGACCCTCTGGGGACATTTCTTTGCACCAAACTTCCACCTGACTAGTTCAGTTCATGCTCTGGAACAGAAAAGCAGACACTTTCTATTAGGATTTTTTACAAAGTGTTCTTTGAAGTACAACGGCCTCTGAATATTATGTTAGAGCTGCCCATCTTACTTCCTACTTGCAGTTCGAAGAACTGGAGTAACAAAGTTGTTCTGGTAGCAAACCTTAGAGAGAAAGCACTCGGGTAAGAATTTCACCTGAATTCAGGTATCGGAATATCCTTTTACACTTTGGTAGAATCCGGTCAGATCCCTGAGCCTGAGCCGTATTCGCTTCCTTGTCGTTGCTTACTTTGAGAAGATGTTTTTGGCTCTGGTAGTAGGTACACAGCTTAAACAGTCTGTGAATTCAAGGTGGTGTTTTGATGCCACTATGTGCAACTTGGCAACTAGGTGTAAAAGTAAAAACTGCCTTCAGTATCATGTGGTTTGAGAGTGACAAAGATACTTGGTCAGGACATTCTTTGGGAATCCTGAGGGGCTGGGCGAAAACGGAACATGGAACGCAGGAAGGTCAGAGTAACAAAATCCACTAGAATTGGTACGTGCAGTCGGCTGTTGTATGGCACCAGACAAAGGAGTCAGTCCTGTGTGCTGTACTGTGGTGGCTGAGAGAACTCTGGGCATGGAAGATACGCTTTCTTTCCCTTCCTCAGACACTACAGGTATACTTCTCAGAGGAAAATAAATCCCTGATTGAGTCCTTGTTTTTCAAGTCAACCACGTCATGAAGGAACGTGTGAGCATTGTTAGTTTTACGTAGAGAAGCAATTAAACAAGAGTACTGTAGGAACTGGTCACTTATTTTAGCAGCCATAGTAGACAGATATTTCTCAGCATTAACAGAGATCTATTTGCATAAAAAAGAGTAAATTGGATAAAATAAAACGCCAAATGAAGACAATATACCAGGCTTCAAGTAGGTATTGTATCAGCTCCCTCATGAAGATTAAATCATAGCACTTGAGAAGTTAAAGGAACAAAGGTAAGAAATAAATGAGGAGTCAGAAAAGTAAGATTTTTGTATTTGTCTTGCTCATCCTAATGGGACATTACATAATTGGGAATGAAAACAGGTTCCTTGCTATTCGTCTGCTGCTTTCTGTGCTATCAGGTACCCCTGTTCTGTGGGGCTACATCCTCAATGCCAAGTCCTACAGCACAGCAGTGGCTTTGTAGAGAGAAATGGTTGGTAACAAAGTCCAGGTGTGTACGCTGAGGCTTTCACTAGGCACCAACTTTAACCTGGTCCCATGAACTGAATGTCCATTGGCAGTTGGAGTATATTAGTGGTCTGGAAGCACACCATCTGATCAAGTTTCATCCAGAAGGAATACAATTCACACATTCTGTGTTGATCTGCTTGAGGATAGGAAGGCTCTGCAGAGGGATCTGGACAGGCTGGGTTGATGGGCTGAGGCCAGTTGTGTGAGGTTCAGCAAGGCTCAGTGCTGGGTCCCACACTTGGATCACAACAACCTCATGCAACGCTACAGGCTTGGGGGAGAGCGGCTGGAAAGCTGATGGGGGGAAAAGACTTGGGGGTGTTGGTCAACAGCCGGCTGAACATGAGCCAGCAGTGTGCCCAGGTGGCCAAGAAGGCCAATGGTATCCTGGCTTGTATCAGAAGGAGCACGACCAGCAGGACTAGAGAAGTGATCGTTCCCCTGTACTTGGCACTGGTGAGGCTGCACCTGGAATACTGTGTTCAGTTTTGGGCCCCCCACTACAGACAAACGTGGAGGTGCTGGAATGTGTCCAGAGAAGGGCAACGAAGCCGGTGAAGGGTCTGGAGCACAAGTCTTACGAGGAGCGGCTGGGGGAGCTGGGGGGGTTCAGCCTGGAGAAAAGGAGGCTCAGGGGAGACCTTATCGTGATCTACAACTACCTGAAAGGAGGTTGTAGTGAGGTGGGAGCCAGGCTCTTCTCCCAAGTAACAAGCGATAGGACAAGAGGAAATGGCCTCAAGCTGTGCCAGTGGAGGTTTACATTGGATATTAGGAAAAATTTCTTCACTGAGAGGGTTGTCAGGCATTAGAACAGGCTGCTCAGGGAAGTGGTGGAGTCACCATCCCTGGAGGTGTTTCGCAGACGTGGTTCTTAGGGACATGGTTTAGTGGTGGACTTGGTGGTGTTAAGTTTACAGGTGGACTTGATGATCTTCAGGGTCTCTTCCAAGTGAAATAATTCTGTGATTCTGAGATGGCAGTTTGATTTGCATTAAAGAGTAAGTGGGGAGATTTGCCTCGAATGTAGAGACATTCGCCAATCCTGTGGAATCTGAAGCCTACCAATGGTAACAACTATGGAACATTCAGAGTACATGAAGTACTTATGTTCAAATACAGAGGAGAGGCAGTAGTTTAGATAGAATTAGTAGTAAACTGAGAGACTATTTGAGTTACACAAATGGGATACCAGGTACCCCTTCAGTACATCTCTTCACATTTCTTGACTGACCTGACTGGATGACAGGTGACATCTGTTGATTTGTGGTTGATAGAGAAGGATGTGATTTGAACCTCTCTCGCTCTAGTGTTGATACGGGTGTAATAAAATGACTTTGATTCCATCCATCCTGTGGAGTAGCAAAAAGAAAAAAAACATACAAATATATCATTTTGCACTAAATTAGGAGTTTTGGTAGAACCGGTTTCCACTGTAGGCTAATTTTGTAATTTACCTTTTTATAAATGCTACGGAGATCTCGGTATTGCCACAGTGTATTCAGTACCTGGGCGGCTGCCTTGACAACTTTCAGTGACGACCTAAGTAAAGAATATTACATTATTAGAAAGCCACTTAATTCCACTTAAAAAGAACAAAGTTCCTGAGCTACGTAATAGCCTAAACTCTGATGCTGTGCAAGTCAGGTCCTCTCCCCAGGTCTCGATAACGCACGGCTGTATCCCCACAGTGTGAACACAGCCGTGTCAGCAGCCTCACCACAGGCTGGTGCACAACCTGAGTAAGCATGACAATAAATTCTCTTTCCAGCCTAGAAATTTTCTCTTCAGGTCACCCACGTGAGGAATACAGATAGAAGGGTTGAAGTAGCTACTGTCATAGTCTGCGAGAATTAAAAATCATGAAAAAAAACATTGTGTTTGGTGCATTTCATAAAAACTGAGATTACATTCTTTAAATCATTGCACAAAATCCCTAACTGTAGGAAAAGAATAAATGAACAAAATAGAGCTGGTAGTGAAAGTCTCCAGACATCCTCATAGTGAGACACTGTTCTCAATTCTGTGTTGCACTACTGCAAGCTTACTGGTTGGGAACACGCTTTTCCGCTCTCAAGAGCAAGGCTAGGAAAACTGCTATAGCTATTATTAAACATAAAATCGTGCCATCTTTCTGAAGAGAAATGGTAGTCATCTGGTGGCAGTACTGAAGTAGTGATTTGACATCAAATGCCACAGCATGACATCTGTGTTAAACATACGCCTTTTTCTGTCGCTGTGAAGATTCATCGAAATACAGTTTTTGAAAGACTGAAAAAACGAGCAGTTGATAGTGTTGTTCAATGAGCAGACACTCTTAGTATGTTCACAATATTTTAAATTTGTTTAGCGTACCCCGTTGCCTCGTAAATGTAAGCATAGGTGCAGCTTTACACGTCGTCTTCACAGACCAATGATTGCTGCATTCGCACCTACGCTCGAAATGCATCTGTGTCCCCTGAACACGTGAAGTGGTCTAACTTGTGGGTGCTCAAAACGTAGCCCAGTTCCTTTTGAGACAAAGCCTTTGTTAAAAATGCAGTTATGTTTCATTCCCACTGGCCAGCTGCTCTTGGAAGAGATCCTTTTCTCTCCTTTACCGCCTGACCAGACACTGGGAACAGCACGCGGGGCTGGCTGTACAATCGGCTTTCTGGTTTAAGAGGGGGGGATTTATTTTAACACCATTTAACCCGGACGGGCCTCGTTAACGCGCTCCCTGCGTGCAGCTGTCGGCGCCTCCGAAAGGCTGGGATCGAGAACATGCTGCACGAGAACGGAGGTACCGGCTGCCTCTCCCTTCCCAGAGGGATTCCGGCTTTCCTAGCTACTCCGATCAGGACTGCAAAAGCAGGTTGTTTTTTAACTCAAAAAACCATTTCCTGCATTCTTACGCATTTCAAATGGACTAGAGAACCGGTTTAGGTATGAGCTTTGTTGCCTACTTGCCTGTCACCTCTTCCTTTCGTTATGTTCACCAGCTTTTCTATTCCTCCAGTATCGGCGAGGGCTTTGGCGTTTTCCATGTTTTTACTCGTGACCTCATGCAGAGCACAGCAGATCGCTGCTACGGTCTCGTCAGACAGGATGCTCGGACCGTTGCCTCCGGGAAGTCGATTAACCAGATCTCGCATTGCATATTTACCTACAGAAACCCACCAACACAACCAAGTGAAAAAAAACCCAAACATTTTGGTACTTAAGATTTGAAATTATAGGAATCACCACAAAACTGCATCTGAAAGCAATAAAAAGAAACGCAGGATCAAAACTGTGGCAACCTTCCAAGAATTCACATTTTACACAGTGTGAAGAGAGACTAGAGACTGATTTATTTTTTTTCTTTTAGCTTAAAAAATTGAGCAGTTGCATTTTTGCATTAAAACCAGGAGCATTTGTAAACGGGACTTACTTGGAGAAAGCAGAATCATTCAAGGAAAAACGTTACGCTATTTAGTATGATTGAAGGGTGGGTGACCATTCCCAGGCTTCATTTATGGGAGCGTTACAGAAATCCTTACAGTAACTTGGAATATTTTTCTTTCAGACATTCTGTTCACCCTATTTGTTACCCATATGGGATCAGATCTCAGCTCTTTCAGACTTCAGCTACTGACCACTGCACAGGAATTATCTCACTGCAGACAAAGGAAATTAACTAAAACTGAGGTCAGTTTTTTTCCTGTTTAGGCTGTGCTGTTAATTGAATGATTAATTGATTTTATTGAAGACACATATTTGTACACAACACAAAGCCATTAGCTCTCTATGTGCATAATGTGCCTGAGGGAAAAAGAAAACACCTGAAAAGGAATTCTGCAAACAAAAGGAACAACTTTTCCCACACTGGAAAACTGCCACCAGCAACGCTGTATACAGTAGTTCCCTGCCACTGGCCAGTCTTTAGCAAGCTCATCACCACCTGTTTGCATCTACCAATTTATGATTTCATTTGTCGGAGTCTCCAGTTTCTTATTTTCCTCCAAGTTTAGATCCTGTAAACCCACTACTCCTGCCCCAACCAATGGCAGCAAAGTTGCATAAAATCGATAACGAGCATGGGGTAATTTATGACTCACTTCATGTCTCTAAATATTTTACACAAAGATTAGTTTCGAAGTGTATCTGAAAGCCATTAATTCTTTCATGGTTAAGGCTTTGTCAGGGAGAGGAAACAGCTGGAGACGATTCCTGAATTGAAAAGTTCTGCCAGGAAGGGGGAAGAAAAAATGCTGAAAAAAGAATATCACCTGAGTATGACCTCTAATATGGGTGGTGCTATAGAACGGAATTTTCTTTTTACTAATTTCTTATGTACGTAGTACCTACACTGCAAGAAAACACGTTCTGAACATCGAAGATGGAGAAGCTTCAGAAATATATAATAAAACTCTGTTCACTTGCATTTATCTTTTTGCAAATATTGACACTCTATCCATATGAATAGTTGTTATATATTTATCCCACTAGTCTACAACACAGAAGACGCTTCTGTAACAAAACCAAAACTTTTTTAGATCATGACACGGGTTAGCAGGGTTCACTTAGGCCACGGCCGTCTGAAGCTGAGCGTGAGGCATGTTCAACACTTGCCATAATAGATGGAGATTCCCGATCAAAGCAGGAAAAATACTGTCTGGGGCTTTTTAAATGCTAGATGAGAAAGGCACGATGAATGCCTAAAGTATTAAATACTAAAACTGACAAAAGGGAAACAGTTTTTCTACCAAGCACCCTTGCTGATTACTTAATTCAGCAGACACATATGTACTGCTTTATATCTGGGGTTTTGCGGAAATGTTTTACTAGGAGAGGATTTCTTCTCTCTCTCCCTATCCAATACTATTAAATATTTACTGATGTGCTGGCAGCATAGCTGTCCCATCCTCTCAGGATACGGAAGGGACCCTGAAACCCTCTGAGAAGGTTACCACTTAGCTCTAAGGGAGTGGAGTTGTGTTTTCCTTCATATTTTACACTGGCAGTTTCCCGTCCAGGTTGGTTTTGCTGAGGTGACTTTCATCCGCTGCAAAGAGATTGCCGTGCAAGACCATGCGAGACGGCCAAAGGCAAACTAAAACGTCAGTCTGACTCTGAAAAGCTACTGCTGTCAAAAAGATGAATTTCTGCGACACAACTGACATGATACAGTAAGTCAAGTCTGCTGTTTCTGTCGGCAGAATCTCGTCCCAGTGTTTTCCCAGTAAAGGTTGGACGCGTTGGCGCTCTCTGCAGTGCAGTTCTGTACTTACCAATAAGCTCCTTATTACGAACGTCTAATGCCATATTCCTTAAGGCAGTTGCCACAGATGAAACAACCCTATCGTTATCCATCCTCAGCAGCTCCACCAGGATTGGCAGTCCCTTCTCCTTCCTCACAGCAGCTCGAATGTACGCTGCGAACTGCAACAAAACTCGAGTTACTCACAGTCTGCTGCAACGTTCGGACTGAAACAGCCTCTGGCTGGACTGTAATTCTGACGTGTGTCGGGGCCTTTTCCAAGGGAAAGGCGACGTGTCCGGCGTGTGCCTTTCCTGTTACTGTAAAGGGCTGGCTCTGTTGGTTTTCACTCATTGCTCTTACAAAGCAATGTCTGAAAAAAACGGTCTAGCAGACAAAATGTCTTAATGGACGACAAATTATTGAAGAGGGAACAGTTTTGGTTTGTTTGTTGTTTTGGTTTTTTTTTTTTTAAAGAGCAATTTTATAATGGTCATAAAATGAAAAAGTCTCAGCCGTTTCTCTACAAGTAAAGGAAGCAACTGATGTGTTTGTTTTAATCTCTCCATGACAAACACGTGATGTTAATGAAGTGTTCTCGTGTGATGTTTTGTAACATATTGTATGCCAGGGCCACAAGCAAGAATGTATGGAAACAAATAATACAATTAATAAACCCAATACAAACGATTTATTTATGCTGGTCGTATTTTGAAGGTACCTTCCTACCAGAACTCACAGCTAGAAGATGGTAGAAGATTATTTTGACCTAATATGCACTGGAAGAAAAGTTTTTCTGTGTATTTAAAATAAATGGTACCAATTTTAAGGCCAGTTTCCATATTGCTCTCCCTGTCTACCATCTTTGTCATTGCTTTTCACTGGAAATAACATTACTGCAGCACATAAGCAACAGTGATAGACACCAGAGAGAACTGCTCAGATGCATACTGGAAAATGGCATGTTCCTTCCAAACACATTCCAATAGCTTTTTATAAAAACCAGCTAAAATACAGCGATAGGAGGAAGAGTAGTAATTCACATACCTTCCAGTTGCCTGCAGAAAGATTCTGGAGAGACCCTGCGGAGCCCTCTAGAGTAGCTGGATTGGAGCTTTCTGCCAGAAGCGTCAGGTACGGCTTTACCACTGATGGGTGCCAGAGCATTTCCACCCCTTTAGGAGACTTGGAAAATCCTGGTATAGGGCCAACTCCATCCCACTGGGAAACGAGCGTACGTATTCATAACTACATGAAACCTCTATGTTTTCATTCACCATATCATAGTTATTCTTCAAGCTATATACTCCCTCCCCATTATCAGCTAAACTATAGCTGATATATTTGTGATACAATGAAAACAGCAAACCTGATCCTCCTGTGAAGTTTTTTTTTTCTTCTTCTTTTTTTTCCCCCAGCAGCTTGGCTCGGAATCTTTGCTAGGTGATTCCTTTCCTAACAAGTCATCCAGTTCATTGATTCCTAGCAGACGTGCCTGAGGTACCTCCAGTTCCAAACGGTAAGAAAGGTTTCTCAAGGTGCACACACAGTTTTCCACTGTCTGAAGCCAAACCAGAACGATGTCATGTAATTAGTTACGTTCTTACACAGTGCTAGAGTGAACCAAACACATCACGTAGAGGTGAAAAGGCATTTGGAGCACAAGCAGTAAGTTACAGTTCTGGGCCTTGGGCATTGCTTTGTCTGTTTCTCTGGGAAAACTGCAGTCTCTCTCCTGATATCCTCAAGTATGAAAATACTTATAACAGTAAGCTCTACTACAGTGGCTTATTTTTTAGTATTCTGAAAATGAAAAGCACAAGAGCTTGCTATTATTTTACTGAAGAATGAATAATTCAACACTGATGAAAATGAAAAGCCCAGAACAAGTTACACTGTATTACACAACAGAATTCGATTGTGCATCAGTGAACTGGGCTTGGCAGAAAAGCCCAGTTGAGCAAAGCACATCACAGGGCTGAATTACACTGCACAAACCCCAGAGGATCCTGTCAGACAGAGTTTAGCACTAAACGTCACTTGGATGAAAGGGGCACAGACCTTGCTGTCGTAGTCCGACGTGTTCACGCACGTGTGGATCACGTACAGCAGGGAATCCACCAGCCCTTCGCAAGACCGCATCTGCTTCCGGGCTTCTTCGCCTGCGGAGCTCAGATTCCTAAAGGGTTGAAACGATAAAGGAACACAGTGTGTTCACAGACACACACACCTACAGTCATTTCACGAGACAGTTCGTACAAGTTTTTTCTACAGCTGATGGGTAGTTGAGAAGTTCAAAGCAAACACACCATTTTGTGCAGCAATTTTGTGCACCCCCAGTTCTGTAACAGATAAATACGATTCGGAACGGCAGTTTCGAGATGGCATTGACTCATTGGCAAAGGCTGCCCTAAGTAGAACCCTTTCCCTCAGACTTTTCCATGCCAAAGCCTCTCTGCTGTGCAGGGCCGAGCGCGGATTGCTGAGCTTGTCGGCGTTAGAACAGCCTCTGTTGCCCGTCTTTAAGCTGGATCCGTTGGCGATCCGCTCTGCGGTGCGGCCTCATTAACGGCTGGAGCAGCGCCACGCAGAAGCGCAGACGTGTAAGGTGGGTGAAGGGCAAGGAGAAGGCTGCTCCGTGCCTTCGGGTGAGCAGCACGGGGTGTAGGCAAACATTGGCCTGCGAGGCCACCACAGTGCAACGCCTGACGCTTACGCTGACCGGAGGCGCCCTGGAAACGGAGCTGCTGCTGCAAAACGCCACCGTGCCTGTCCAGGGGTGCTTTGTCTCCAGCCATCACGTCCGCACTGCTGCGCTGGAGAGCAGCGCGGAACTCATCGTGTTGAAACGCAACAGCAAAGTATTTATGGAAATACTCTGAAGTTTCGAAGGGCTCAGAAGGACAAATAAAAAGCAATTCCAATTTGAAATCTAATACATTAAAATTCTAAACAAACCTACAAATGAACAGCAACAGCTTATATACTACCTGTGGCCCCCGAATTATCTTTTCAGATATTTTAGTTTTGCCTTTTATTATTCTGAATGCCTTTTTCCCTTCTTAGTGCTGTTGGAGAAATCCACAAAGGGAATAATCAAACACTTCGTTACGGATATGTATGCATATACAAACATGAGTATTCAAATGTATACAACAATAAAGAATCACCAAATGCACAAATCTTTTCATAAATAATATTCCTAAGTCCTGATGCAGTACAAAAATTGCAGAAGTTTATAGGGGAAACGTGCAAAGATAGTAATTTATAAAAAAAAACCCACGCCACGAAAACGTAACCACTAGTTGTTATGGTCAGCATCTCTTAGTGACTAACTTTGTTCTTTTCATATTTTTCTAATATGAAGGGAAAAGAAAACCCAACACACCAATGCAAAAGCTGCACGAATCATAGAACTATATGTAATTTATAGAATGCAACAACTTGTTTGCCTTAAAAATTACAGTGTGATAAAGACCTGTTGGGTAACATCAGTCTGTAAAAGGGAGTCTTCCAGAACAGCACATACCTCAGGCATCCTGTAGTATTGCGCAGAACTAGGGAAGTTTGAAATTTAATTTTATGGTCATCATCAAAGGAAGAGCTGTTCCACCCGGAATGTGGCACTATCACAGTGTTCGTTAGTGTCGACAGAGCATCTCTAATGATTGTCATCTTCACTGCATCACATGAGGACAAGTTCCAGAGAACCCCTTAAGGAAAGATTTCCATTGCAGCAGAGTCAGAAAAGATGTGGCAAACAAACATAAAGCAACATTAATAGCTTCAAAGACATACCTTTAAACAGGAGAAAGGTAATACAAACCCAAAACAAATACAATGAGTCTGCAATGTAACTTTAGTATTATTCCAACATTGTCAGTCTACAAGCGGTCAGCAAAGCTGCCACTAACGGATTCACTTTACAGACTGAAATAAATATTTCCAAATTTCAGATTACAGCATATTTAGCAGCCTGCCCTCTGGCTGGCTGGCTGCTGCGAGCGCTCTTTGACAAGAGAGTTGGGATGCGAGACGATAATCGGAATGACCCTCAGAGATCAGGAGGTAGGTCTCCCCCAGTACTGAGTAGGAAAACAGGTTTATCGGTGAGTAAATGCTCTTCTTAGAGGAAAAACACTCAGCAGGAACAGGCACTGACTGACAGGAGATGTCCCCTGCTTTCTTTCCCGAGGTGCAGCTCATTCTGCCACCAGAGAGGAGAGTGGGAAGTCCCCCCTGCACCACGCGAGTCCAGAGGAATATTCCCTACAGGCATGAACACTCGTCTCGTATGCAAAACACCTTTCCATCTTGGTGAAACCTTACGTGCCCTGAGCTCGCTCTCTCTAACGCCAGTGTATTTCCGAGATATCTAAAGATCAGTCCCGCCCTGACTACCTGTGACTGGCAGAAAGCTCTTTGTTGTGTTGCAGCGTTCGAGGCAGCACGCCGGGTCAGTGCGGGCACACACGTGCCGTAGCAGACACTTCTGTGCCCACGGAGATCACTCACTGTGCCTGTGCTCGTTCCTCTTCTCCGTCCCACCAACACTGCGCCAGCAGCACAGTCTGCTGCGGATCCCACTCCTGCCTGCTGCGTCTTGCTGTCAACAACCGCTTCCCACCTGATCCAGTCTTCTGAAAAGGGACTGGATATGCAACCAAGAACAAACAAACCAAACCTACTGTCTGTTTCCACAGAAACTTTTGCAGATTTCAAAGAATACGTGCCCAGCTGCTTCCTTTTTTCTTATTCTTTGTACCACCTGTTTATTATACTCATCTTGGTGTTCAGGTATCCTCTTCCTCACCAAATGACAACAGAAAGCTGACAGTCACTCTTAGAGTTGCTCTTCTCCCCTTCCCAACTCCAGGCTCTTAAATGTAATTTTTTCCAGCCTGGCACAGATGGTGAACCTCCAAATGTCACTTGTGAGATTTGTTTCGCCCGCTCTGCTCCCCCTTCTGTGCTCTCACTCACTACGGTACAGGAGCAGGTGACTCTTCTCCAGTACACACAGCACTTGCTCTTACCAGTAAGAGTTTACCGCCTTACAAAACTGGGTGGGTTTCTGGCACCCGTTTGAACGGTCCCGCCAGGAGGTGCAGGAGATGGAAACGGTGCACACAGACAGAGCTCTGCTACAGATCACGGACCCTCTCACCACACCACCTTTACCCTCCTGGAACCGCACCTCACCCATTCCTGACGGTTTCAGCCTTCCTGGGTGACAGACAGAACACCTGCTGAAGTTTTTGCGTACAACTGGATTTCCTGCTTGTACCCACTGTCTGGTTACTTTTTAAAAGTCACCTGCTATTTCACAGAAATACCACTTCTGTGAAAATTATACATTTCCTTCCAATAGTTTGACATAGAACAAAATAATAAATTAATTTGTAAATAGCAAAAAGCAGACTGTTTCATTCACAGTCTGATAATCCTGTGGAAACAAAGAGGAAAAATCTACAACAATAGATACCTCACATGTTAAAGCGTTCAGATTCTTGACACTTTTAGTACCATCACAGACACATTTGAGCCACATTAAAAGTATTATTTATGACTTTTAACTCCAGCTCCTGTACAGCAAGACTTACAATAACAAAAAAGAATTGATTACAAACTGGGATATAAAAAAAGTAATTTAAAAGTACTCTTTAAAGTTGTTTTGAGTGATTCTCAAAAATTATTTATGGCTTCACTAAGCTTTGTACCGCATTACATTCACACACTCAAAATAAGCTGAAGTTGACTTATTCTTCAGGTTTAGCAGTTGGATTACATAAAGCAAGCACACATGCCATTCCATACCATAAATCTCTTCTGTACTGTACATCCTCACTGAAGAAAAGTACTTCATGGGGGAGAAGGGAGAAATCTAAATGCTTCACTGGCCTATGGCTTAAAGTTTTTGAAACCCCGTTTCATGCAATTTGTGACGCAAGCTAGAAATCAGACCGCACCTCAACCTCCTCCCGGCTCCCCACACCTTTGCTGTCGGAGCAAGTTACGCAAGAGAGAAGTTCTGGTTTGAGTCTCAGACCACTACCAGTTACCCAGCACACCCAGCACGCTCAGCTCTGCGCGACGCGGCGTGAACACACCACGGTCCGGTAACTGGCAGAGCCGAACCTCAGCCCGGCTCAGCATGACCACCTGCACGTCTGGAACGGCTACGCCACGGCTTGTGACAACGCCGGGGCAGCCGGGCGCTGCGGGAAACGCCGACAAAAGCCGACACGCTCCGCAGGCGGCGTTGCTGGCGCGATGCAGTGAGCCGCCGCAGCACGTGGCACCCCCTGCCCTGCCTGCCGAGGAACACTGACCCCGCTGCGCGCCACGAAACCGGACAAACAGCTGGCACCATCCTTTGTTCATGTGTGTGCCCAATGGCACCGGCTTTCCAGAGCAGCAGAGGACCTCCCTACACTCCATCCCTCCAAGAATTCTGTTAAACTTTTGCAAATATTGTCTGTGAGGATCAGCCAGGAGTGTTCCAAGAGAAATCCCTGGAGTTCCACTGAGTAACCATGTCGAAACCTGCCTGGAAGCCGGACTCGCAAGGAGGTAGCTTGATTAGGTGATTAACGATTTATTATCCCTGTGCTCATTATGTGAAGGTTCTCTGTTTCTTAACTGGACGCTCCATTTCTTAATTTGAGAGGAGTCTTCAGCTACTTCTTCCACGAAGCAGAGTGGTGTATTACACAGCCCGTTAGTCTTCATGTTAAAAATGAGAATACAATCTGATTGTTTGTAGAGTGCTTGTTTTAAGATAATTGGGACCAAATTTAGTGCATATTAAAAATAAACCCTGAAGGCAAAGGCAGTTATAATTTGGGAAGTTTCCATTCAAAGATAAAGAAAACGGTGGTAGGAGCTGGTACAATGTTGTGGTAGCAGAAGGTCTAAGGGACTTTGGGAATTACAGGATAATTTTGTACGCCATTTAAGTAATAGTGCCCTTTTTCTTCCTCATTGTTGTGGAGGTACACTTAAAAACACATATTGAACTGTTACTGCCAACTGAATCATCGGCCAACGTCCAAAGAGACAGTTTGAAACCGCAGGTAGAGGATGAATTTATAAAATTTATGAAATTATTTTTCAAGAGCTATTAGCTGCAACTTCCATCATTCTGGAAGAATGGTGAACATCCCACTCACCTCGTGTGGCAAGAGGAGTGGAGTCCCTTGACCTACTCCTAGCATCTCTGGGTTTGGAAGGAGAGAAGCTTCTGCTTGCTACTCATCTTACACTTTAGTTTGTGTGTAATTCGACTGATGGCTTCAGCCAGCCTCGTGTTTCCTGCTTAGTCTGTGAAGGTACTTCAAAGTTCAGCAGAAAAATGACAAACCACTATTAGTGCTTGAAATTGCCTAGAAGTGAGGAAAACCTGAGAAAAGAAGGCTAAAGTTCAAAAATCAGCAGTGATAGCACCAGAAGAAAAAAAAAAAGAAAATAGGATAATCTGGAAGACTTTTCTGAGATGAACCACAGTGAAGAAACATATACATAATGCAGTAGAGAGTTTGGTTTAACGGTTTTCTCCTAAAAATGTGAAAGAATCAGCTTTTTGTTCTAAAGATCCCGGGTCTCTGGCTCTAAGATGCTGGTCAAACTGTTCCAGTACAACTTTAATAATAAAAATTGATTTTAATTGATATTCCTTATGTAGAAGACACTTTAAAAGCACTTGAAATTTCCACAAACTGTAACAGAAGAGAAACAGACAAAACTAAACCACTAAGTTTCAATGACTGAGGTTTTGGGGGGTTTGTTTTCTGGCTGTTTTTTCGTGTGTGTGTTTGTTGATTTTGCTTTTTGTTTGTTGTTGGGTGGGTTTTTTTGTTTGTGTTTTTTTTTTTTTCTCCTAGGATTCAAAAATATTTAGAGAATAATGGAGAAAAGGCTTCTTCCCAGGAAGGAAATTACTATTAAAAGGAAAAAGGACAAGACTGTGGAGTAATAGTCCTCTTTTCAGGCTTCATGCTTTTGTATCTGGAGGTTTAAAGACCTGTGATGAGGAAATGTCTGCCAGGTAGGTCCAGAGATCAAACTCCACATGCCAGCTATGATACTCCCTGTCACACCAGTGGCCACTAAACAGCTCATCTACCTGTATATAGAGAAGACAACTTGGATGAACTCCTGTGAGGATGACATATGCTTGAATTAACTCACACAATGTACCAAAAAATTATGTAGAAACAAAAAAAGACCTCAAGATTTAGGCAGCAAGGATCAAATTTAGTCCTGGAAAAGTGATTCAGACAAGGTGATATGAAGTAGAATGAAAAAATTAATAATAAATAATCCAGAACTGGGACATCTAGTGAAAACAGGTAGTTTAGCATCTATAAAGACAAAACTTAATGTTATTGCATTTAGTGACTGCAACTGTTGTTAATCGAATGCCACTCCATGTCGACAGGTCATAGGAATACGGAAAGGACATGTTGGGTTTCTAGTGGCGTAGAAGGATACTCATCGCTCTGTACTGACATTATCTTTATCTGGGAGCAGAGTAAACTGGGTAAAAGGTTTTCTAGTTTTAGTTCTGACACAGGTGGAAGTTTTTTAATTATTAAACAAATAATTATTGGATCTTTTCTACTTTTTTTCTTTATATTGCTCCTTATAAAAAGCATGTAAAAATCCCTAACCTCCAAGTCTGCTGTGGATTCTTCTGAAGCGTCCAGCATTGGTCTGACTCTAACACAAGTCAATGCCACTGACTTAACCAGAAGACAATTAGGTCAAAACTTTCCATTTTGTTGTAAAAAAAATTAAAAATGTGTGTCAAAAAGTAAGAGTCATTTTTTCTGAAGTAGTCATCTTTAATTATAATTAAAATTAAATACCATATTTATTTGAAAAAATATTTTTACTTAGGTGATGACCCCTATTGTTTTTGAAAGATAAGTGCATGTTTTTTGTTGTTTGGTTTTGTTTATTAATAGTGACTAAATACCTTCTATAATTTGGAATTTGACTTTGGTTTTGTCTGTGGAACCATCCCTCACATGATAAAAGAACAAGTAATGTTCTTAGATGCATAAAACACAAATTTTGTAGAGCAGGCAAGGCAGATAATGTGTAATTCCAGTTTTAAGTATTCCGTTTGCGTAACTTTTTAAGGAAAAGACTGTGTCCTTGTAGAGAGAACAAGCAAGCTGCAGGTTATCTTAATGTTTGCTTACGTGGAAAATACTTAAAGAAAACAGCCTGCCCATGAACATAAACTGAAATGCTTGGGATACATTCTGTGCAGAGTCCTTTCTCTGCTTAACAGCTTCTCCAAAGAAGGAAAAGGATCGGGAAAGGCTCCCAAGTACGCCACCTCTGACTGGAGTTTGCTTAGTAGGTCAGTAGTCAGGCCTTGTCGCTTCACAGATCAAGTGAGAGCACTACTAAAACTTGACAGAGGAACCGTTTAAAGAAAGAGAAAGCTCTGCTTTTTTCTATCCTCTCCTATTTGTCAGTCCCCCAAAACCTTCACAGACAAGTCACTCCATATCAAGAGACAGCAGATGTGTGCCGTACCCAACAAATCCACCGTGCTTTGATGGGAATGGAGTTCCTTCACGTGTTCGAAACGCGAATCATTTATTGTTTCTGCACTTTCTGTCTGCACCCAGTGCCAGTGGGTTCATGGGCTGTAAGCTACGCCTGCTCCCTCGTGCTGGGGAGAGACGAGTGTGTACACAGCCACTGCCGCGACACTGCCGGCAGGCACCGAGATGCTTCTGTGATTTGCACACTTGCATCTGTGCTTTGACACACATTTACAGAGCCTGAGTCCATCTTATGGATTCTGCAAGACCTTATTTAAAACTGTTGTCAGCAGATGATAAACAAGAAGTCTGTAATAAAACAAATGTTAGGAGTTAATAAAGAAACACATATCCAAGACCTAGCTGTAGGAGAATCGTAGCAGGGGAAAATTTGCCCTAAGTGGAGCTTTAGCGCAGCTCCCTCAAGATGTACTTCTCCCAGCGAGTCTATACTTCTATGCTAATCCTTTAACTGTCAGTAATCAAAAAAAAGTGATTTTGCATTCACAAAAATACCAGCACACAGCTAAAAATCCAGTCCGTATACTCAATTCCAGTCACTTACCAGTTATTCCAGTCTTGTGCACTTCAGAAAAATAACCTGTATTATAGTTCTCTGCTTGTTTCTATTCAAAACTTACCTGTTACAAGCTCTTTTATTTCAGCATCAACAGATTTTCTCAACAGTCGTAAAAGGGCAGGTATCCCACCAACATTCTTCATTGCTATTTTGTTTTCATCGGTCGACTTTCCGTAAACAAGGTTTCTCAGCGCACCACAAGCATTCTTCTGAACTTCCAGGACTCTGTGATCCAAGAGGTCAACCAGGTGCTTGATTCCTCCTAGCCTGCACACCTGGAAAATAGAACGTTGGGAACATCAGCATCTGTTAATTTCACTCCACAGATTTAAAAGGCGTTTATTTGTATAAAACCAGTACGTTCCATTCTACTTGGAGGTGAAACATTGCTGTTAGATCTTGACCTCATTGTTACACTGCACTGAAGATTGCTGTGAACACTCACGTTCTTGCTGAAGAGGCTGATGGACATTTTCAGTCATTTGCTGTGTACAGAGAAGAATCGTTACTGCTAAAGTTTTGTTTCCCAATAATGTAGTTTTCAAAATAATTTCCTGTACCTCAGGATATTTTTTTAGGTAATATTAGAAATAAGAAGTTGCAAAGATTTAAATGCCCACTTTTACACTTAGCTACACACAGATGCTAATCAGTTCAAATTAGCATATATCCGGTCCTATTGGCAGACCTAAAGTTCCTTCTAAAAGGAAAGTCTATTCTGCAGAAATTTCGTGAAACAAACAGAAGTTTTTATATTGTTTGCTTTAAGCAGGTTAGTTTCATTTATTCTTTGTTATATATTTTTTTTTAAAAATTAACGTTGTGTTTTAAGATCTCATTTCCATGTAGTACTTTTCTTTGTTCAAAGTTAGGTACAGAAATTATAAAAGATTTAAGTATTCTATAATTGTGTAACATTTACTAAATAAAAAAATATTTTTAAGAGATAACTAAGAAGCATTACTTACAAGATTAACACTAATTTAAAATAATCACCACCAAAAGGCTACCAAAATATTTTCTATAAAGTGTTCTGAAAAACGAGCTATTTTGCAATATAAGATTGATGTATTATAACCCGGTATTATTTCAGCACAGCACAATAACTTTTGTGCCATACTATCCACAGAACATGCCTAATGGAGTTGGCATCTTTAAAAACCCCACACTGCACCAGCTGAACTGTTGCTGCCCTCAGAAGGGGATGCCATGGCGAAAAGAGAGGATACCCCGTCATTCCTGAACACGTTGCTCCTACAGGATGTGGTTCGAGGCCAGGCAGTCAGAAGAAATGTGGAATGTCATAGTCCTCAGGATCCTCTAGTTCAGCTTGAAAAGCACTTCTAGAGGGTCCTTTTCTATTCTAACCTGTATAAAAATCAGTTGGCAAGCCACAAGGCTATTTGAAATACTTTAATGTGTGCAAGTATCCATGGATTTTTGGCTTTAAAAGCTCCGTGTCTTTTACTGGCTGTAACACAAGGAGAATAAAATTCTCCATGAAAACGTAACTGAGATTTAGCCAAATCATTTGAAGTTGGTACTTTGAAAAACAGAATCTTCT